AAAAAGAAACCAGTTGTGAAAGAGATATTGAAGATATGAAATATAGGAAATAAATGATGGAATAAGATAGAAGAACCTGTATGAAGGGTGAAGATTTGGATGGTACATGTTTCAGCTTTAAAAGGAAGGAAAGGGTACTTCCTTCCTCTGGTGAGAAGGGAAAGAAAAAATGGCAGGTAAAATTTTGATGTATAGAAGGTGTGGGTTCAAGAATGCATGCAGTATGATTTTTAGCTATGTGAAACTGTTTACAAGAAACGTGATTATAAATATAAATGACCAAGGCCAAACCTCTTCTGTAGAATGTATGGTTTATCAAAATTCAACAAAAAAAGATTTCTATGAATATAAAGCACAAAGAAGCATTAAATGATATCAAACAGCTGCCCCAGATGGAAATAAAAAATGGAATGTATATGTTGGGTGTGATCTTAAAAAGTCCTAATAAAGAGAGTAAAATTCTAAGGTGACTCAGGTGCTAGGTATTTATTAAATAAGTATTTTCTGCTGCTATATTACACATATGTATATTCAGTCATTTAATGAAATAAGTATCTTGTTTTATCCAGAAACACAAAAAAATTCAAGAAATGCTTACCAAAGAAAGGCACACACGGTGGATTAATAGACCTGAGTTTTGCCAAATATTTCTTATAATGATCTTCGCTTAATTCATGAGCTTCTTCTAAAATTTTCTTTTGGCGACTTGGTATTTGCTACAGTAAAAAAAAAAAAAAAAAATTTAGGGAGTGTGAGTTTATAAAAGGAAGCATAGGTTTTGCCCCAAAATGCCAGGCTAAGAATAAAGCCCAAACACAACGGTATCAGTTTGATTCTAAGAATAACCACATCAAGACACTATCTTCATGGACCCCAGAACAAATTGCAAGAGTGTGGTGTGTGAGTGAAATCTAGTTTATCTTGCCATTCCTTATACAATTACGAGAGTATCTGATTTTATGTTATACAAAAATTAAGTGCTGAAAGGTTTTTCTTCTCGTCACCTAGGCTAGGGCCCGTGAAAGCATTTTAACGAGAATTCCTAATTTTAAAAGTGCAACCAGTTCAATACAAATACAAATATAGTGGAATTGAGACAATTCCAGCTTTTAAACTGTCACTGAAAACACAGATGAGGCGCTTAACAATTAAAGACCATGATTCTTAAAAATCCTGATTCTTCATTTACAAAATGACTAGACGAACCTACCTCAAATGTGTGGTCTAGTCTGTAAACAGGAGATGAGTTCATAGCACTGACAACCTCAAGGACACCATTGAAATTGTTCAGCTCTTGAAAGACTTGTAGAATCTCAATTATTCGACTCACCACAGCTACTCTTTCTTCTAAGTTTTCAGTTTCTACAATACATCTGGGAACCAAAGACAAAAAAATGAATTAAATAATCTATAGTTTCCCCAACAAAGATATGCTTTAAGGAATTTAGTAAATAAAATAATGTGTGTGTGGGGGGGTGCGGTTATCAAGTAACCCCAGAGGATCTATATTCAGAACGACAGGTAAAGAGCAGGAGACTGGATCGCGAAGCGGTGCTCCAGTCAGGCAAGGTGCTCTTCACTGGTTTTCACACGGACACAGCCACCAGTCAATCATTTTCCTGCTGTATTAGAATTAACTGGTGAGACTAACATCTTGTTGACCGTCTGCTGGTCTTCGGGATGTGGGTGTGTCCTAAGGGAATTTATTCTGGAACTCAAGAATTCTGTGTCTCCTATTCTTCACCTAATTTCGAGATTTTGGTGATCATGTTTTCTTTCTTTGAAATAATTAGCTACATTTCTAGGAATGGCTCTTCACAAAAACATTGTGATGTTAAAAAGTCAATGAAAGTATTTTACCATAATTAAGAATAAAATTTTTTTAATTACTAATAAAGAGAAAAAAAATCAAAGGCACTTTACATTTAAATACCAAGAATCTTTGGAAGGTATACAGCTAATATACCAATAAATAGCTAAAAGAAAGCATACTCGGTTCAAAAAGAGAAAATTCCTCAGTGAGCATTTACTCTCTAATATTAGAGAGAATCTTAAATTTACTAATCACCAGTAAAGAAAAAGGCATTTTAAACTTGGTTTTTAATAACGTAATATAAAATAATGTATAATCTAAGAAAAACAATACACAAAAGAGAAAATAAATATAAATCAATATTAAACATTTTTAAAATTGTAAAGGTGAAAATTACGTTATTTTCTGATGAGGATAACCTGACACTAAGAAAAAAACTGTTGCAAAACTATCAAAATAAACATAAAATCAAATTTGCTATCAAATTAAACATAACATGTTTACATGTTTAAAGCATTAGCTAGATCTCTACAAATACATCATATACTGGCTAACTAGTTAGCTGGACATTTAAAAGGGTATAATACAAGTATAATATATTTACATCTTGTATTTGACTACTTCAGTTGACATTACCTAGGTATACAAATTGTCATCACGTGTGGAGTTTCTGTAACAACCAGGTAAGTCTGGGGTGATTTATCCATAGGTGACTCCAATTCTAATATACGTCCATGACTAAGAGCCACCGTAGCAAACGGACACGAAATCTCTCACACTGAAAAGGCAGAAGTTGGAACCCCTGTGTACTGCTGGTGGGGGGAATGCAAATGATACAGCCACTATGGAAAACTGTATGGAGGTTCCTCAAAGATTAAAAGTAGAGCTATTGTATGATTGATCCACCAATCCCACTTTTGGTTATTTATTCAAAAGCAGGGTCTCAAGGAGATATTAGCACTCCATGTTCGTTGCAGTGTTTTTTCACAATAGCCAAGATGCGGAAACAAACCAAATGCCCATCTATGGATGAATGGATAAAGAAAATGTGGTACATGCACACAATGGAGTATTACTCAGCTTTAAAAAAGAAGAAAAGCCTGCAATATGTGACAACACTGATGAACACTGAAGACATTATTCTAAGTGAAATAAGCCAGTCACAGAAGGATGAATACTGCATGATTCTACACCTACGAGGTATCTAAAATAGTCACAATTATAGAAGCATAGAATGGTGATCGCCAGGAGTCAGGGAGAGGGGAAAATAGGGAGTTACCAATTAGCATGTATAAAAGTTCAGTTATGCAAGGTGAATAAATTCCAGAGATCTGCTATACAACATTATGCCTATAAATTAATAATTTATATAACTAAAATTCTGTATTGCACAGTGGAAAACATCCGTTAAAAGGGTACCTCTCATGTTAAATGTTCTTACAGTAATTTAAAGAAAAAGGAAAAAGTGCAGGAAATGGCCTTTTCAGTCATCTATTAAAAAACAGGACAGAAATAAAAATGGTCTATTTCATCAGTTATGTTTCTCCTTTACAGACACAAATTTTAATTATTATGATAGAAAAGGTCTTCTGCATATTTAAGTGAAATTATTTAATTTGATAATGAAGAAATCAGGAAGCAACATTTAGAGGGCAAATGGTAAAGTTTTACTGTTTACAGGCTAAGAAATAATAACATAAGTGACTTGGAATGCTTATTTCTCTTTAGGAATTGCTTTTAAGTCTTTATCCACATTGTAGCATAGGTTTTAGTCATTCCCTATGTCACTGGCCTCCTGTTCTGATAATTCCAATAGGAACCTCATATCACCCTTACAAAATATTAGTCAACTAGTCATAGTGTTTTTACTCAAAAAAATATGGCTGACATACATAATGCCAATCTGTGGCCCCAACTATAAAATTGCATTGAGATTCTAGATTGCTGACATGACCGTATAAGCAGGTCTGCTTACCCACTCCTCAGTGAAACTAGTGAAGAGTATATATATGAAGAAAAACATAATCATGATTAATATCATCTTCCCCAACATTTAAAGTCTCTGGAAATGGCTCTAAGAGCAAATGGCAAATAAAGTAACATCTATTTGGGAAAACTAGAGAAATTCAGTAAGAGAGGCAAGAGTTTACGGCTTTTGAACAAAGCCCGCTCCCTCCTTCCTCCCAGAGGACCCCAGGCAGTGGAGGGAAGAGTCTACTCCAGACAGCTCAGCTGAGAATGCAGGCCTCCCTGTCCACCTAGCTCCCAGCTGGAGGGCTTTCTTCTCTGGAGGAACAGGATTTCAGCATTTCCAGTCCCCAGCTGGCGGTGGCTGAGGCTAAATCTCTGGTGAGTGTAGCTGGGAAGTGGGGACTCCCTTCTGCCTAACTCCTGCATGGAACACAGGCTCTCACCTGAATGTGGCACACTGAGAATGCTGGGAAGACAGCCTCTCCCTGGTTCCCGAGGCAGTGGTTCCATGCCAGGAGAGGTGAGTAAAGAGGACCTCACACACCACCTCCAACCAGGCACTCAGCTCCTAGAGCAGGAATGTTTCAGGGAAATTTGCCACCAGCACAAGAGTGCAGGCTCAAACAGCTCCTACTCTCGTCATTTGCAACAAACCGTTGGAGAAGTTTAAACCTAAAGGTGCTTTCAAGAACAGTGAAGGGGGTGCCTGGGTGGCTCAGTCCATTGAGCGTCTGACTTTGGCTCAGGTCGTGATCTCAATGGTTGATGAGTTTGAGCCACAGGGGGCTTACTTCTCTCAGCACGGAGCCTGCTCCAGATCCTTTGAGTGTCTCTCTCTGTCTCTTTCTCTCTGCCCCTACCCCACTTGTGCGCGCGCATACGCGCGCTCTCTCTCTCTCTCTCAAAACACACACACACACACACACACACACACACACGCACACACAAAACAGTGAAGGTTGTGGTGCAGGGCAATGGTAAGATTCTTGGATCTAACAATTGTTGGTTGACTAGTCTGCAGGAGAGAACCAGGGAATAAGAGCTGGGACGAGACTTCCAAGGGTCAGAACAAATATCAGAAACCTAAGAAACCACTCCTTAAAAGGAGTCACAATTTGGTTGGATTAGTTTGAAGAGCCATTTATACCACTAGGGAAATTGCTGAAAACAATAGAGCAACCAGCTGGCAATTAGCAGAGTTTAACAGCTGGATGTGGTCAGGACAGGAGTGAAAGAAAGCACTACCTCTCCTGCTGCCTTCTTGGAGTGACCGTGGACATACCCAAAACAGTACCTCTCAGAAGAGGAACTTCTCAGCTTAACATCTAAGTGTGGAGGGAGCTGGAGGATAGGCTTGTCGAGAAGAATCCAGCTAGTCACTAAAGGAACAAGCTCTGGGTGGTGGGGAGTCGGAGGGGCAGGACCCACAAGTTGCTACAACAGCAAGTGTCCAACAAAGAATTACCAGGCATGCAAAGAAACAAGAAAGTACAGTAGTGTCCCCTCATCTGCTGTTTTGTTTTCCCCAGTTTCAGTTACCCAGCAGTCAACTATGGTACCACAGATAGCTTCCTTTTGAGGTGTCGTGAGGTCATTTAGTAGCATACCGCTAATATCACAGTGCCTAAAGCGTTCACCTCACTTCATCTCATCATGTAGGCATTGTATCATCTCACATCATCACAAGAAGGGTGAGTACAGTGCAGTAAGATATTTTGAGAGAGAGACCACATTCACATACCTTTGTTACAGTATACTGTCATAACTGTTCTGTTATTGTTAGTAATGAACAATTAAAAAACAGTATAAGGGGTTTGGTACTATCTGTGGTTTCAGGCATCCAGTGAGGGTCCTCTGTGGATAAGGGGGGACTATTGTATGATCCGTTCACCGGGGGAATAAAAGCAGGGAACAATCATTGCCTGTGAGAGGGACCAGATGTCAGATTTAACAGAAAATGATTTCAAAGTAGCCATTATGAATGTGTTCACAGAACTAAAGGAAAGAAGGCATGATTTAAAAAGTAAAGAAAGATATAATGACAATGTGCAGAAGAAAGTATCATAAAAGACAGCAATAACAACTGGCAACTCAAACTGAAAAATACGATAGTTTAAAATAAATTTACTAAAGGGGCTCAATTTTTGAACCACCAGAAGAAAAAATTAATTAACTTGGACACAGAGCTGTTGTTCAAAAGCGAAGGCAAAATAAAGACTTTCCCAGGTGAACAGAAACGGAGAGAATTTGTTGCTAGCAAACCCACCGTACGAGAGATAGTAATGGAAGTTCTTCAGGCTGAAAGCAAAGAACCCCAGATGCTAACACCAGTCCATGAAAACAAAGAGCGGCGGTAAAAGTAATTATGTGATTATAGGAGACAGGATAAATGCCTGTTTTTTTCTCATTGCTTCTCTTAACTGATTTAAAAAGCAACTGTATAAAATAATGTGAACGTAACGTATTGTTGGGCCTATAAGATACACATATAGAATAAATTGCCAATAACCAGACAAAGGAGGTGGGGAAGAGCAAAGCTGTAATGGGCTAAGAAAATAACAAAGGGGAAAGCAATAATTGCCACATGTATTGTTAGATTTGCATCATTAATTATATGTAGTATGTATGACAGTAGTGCCAGAAAAAAGGAAGACAGGGAACAGAGCTATACAGGAGGAACATTTCTATCACTGGGATTAAGCTAGTAGAAATCTGAAGTGGATTCTGATAAGCTGTCTCTGGTAAACCTTAAAGCATTCACTGAAAAACCCCCCAAAAGATATAATGAAAAAAATCATTAATGAAATAAAAGTGCTACATTAGGAAAGTATTCACTCAGTGCAAAAGAAAGGAGGGACAGAGAACAAAAAAAGGACGCAAGACACATAAAAATAGAATTGCATTTAAAATCATAATAGCTGACTGCTCCGAAATGCGAGAGTGTCAGTAACACTTACTTCTCAAACCACAGAGTGAGGTTAGTGGTGTGCCGGATCATTTTTAGGAGATTAGGAGAATTAATTTCTTTGTCTTCTTTTGTCCACACGCTTCCAACTAATTCTGATGGCTGTACAGCTCTGAAATCATCAAGACATAATTCTCCATGATCCTTTTCCCTGTAGCATACTGTTTTACTAAGTAAATGAGATAAATAAAACTAAACTCCCATATAAACCTTTTGTTTTTACACCAATAGAAAGGTTTATGAAAACAACATATCACAACTAATTATGTGTATTTTTCTATAGATTAAAAAAATATTTTTATGCATATATTTGTGTACTTTTATTATTGCTTTATAGTAGCATTTTGCTTTGGGCAACATTGAGATTTTTTCATAACATCTTTCCTAGCACTTAACAAAGATTATTTAACAAATTAGGGTGACAATGTAATCGGGGATTGTTCTTTTAAATAATGATACTTGTTATAATAATCAGTTCAATGAGGATATAGTAATCACTGTAATTCAGAAATCTTTTTTTTCTTCTAAAGGAGGGAGGGAAACCCTACCATCTTTTGGTAAATAAAGGGAAATAAAATAGATTCTAATATTGGTTTTTGGGAATAGTGATGATCTTTGGGGTGGGAGGAGATCTATAAATTTAGTTCCTTTTTTTTTCATTTAGTTATTTCAAAAGTTTGCAATCCTAACTAGTCCCCATTTAAAACAAACAAACAAGCAAAAACGGACACTTTTTGAGACAGTAGTTACATCAATGTAGAAAAACTAAAAAAGGCTGTGACGGGCCATGACTTAAGTTTACAACTACAAGGGCAGTAGCTAACTTACTGAGCCCTTACTCTGTGCTGGGCTAAGCATTGTATGTTATATATTGACTGTTTTCAATCTCACAACAGCCCCAAGAATAGGTACCATTATTAGATCCATTTTAACCTTGAGGAAGCTAAGGGACAAAGGGATAAAAGTTTCACATGAAGGTTAAAGTTGCCCAAGCATACCCAGCCAGCGACTGGTAAAGTCACACGCTGCACTCCGCTTTACCAGGTAGGAGTGAGAGAAGAGGTGGCCTTCTATACATCAGGCTTTATTACTACTCCCCTTCATATACTAGCTCACTTAGGTCTTATAACATTCCTATAAGGCAGAAAACAGTATTTCATTTAAAAAATCAACTCCTTGGAAATGATTTTTCAGCTTGAATGTCAAATTACATACCGATATAGATCTGATTCAAGTAAAGTGAGTTGTCGAGCAATTTCTATTGGGTGTAAGGTGAGCAGGTCAAAAGTCTCTATGTGCCCAGGCCTGCTTATATGCCACTCAACTGTGGGAGGTGAACTCTGAAATGTAATATTATGACCTGGTCCATTGTCTCTTGCAATTTTTTTCCTTTGGATTATTTTAGTGATGGATTCAACCCATTTTTTCATTGCTTTACCTGAAATACATTACATTTTAAATAACATTTAAATACTTTTTACTCAATATTTTATTCTTTTAAAATATTTTAAAATCATACAAGTGATAGTTGAATATATATTTGCTATTACAAGGTTCAAATGATCAAAATAAAAAAAAAAATGGAAGTTCCTCTTTACCATTCCCTATTCCCTATCCTAATCTCATTCTTCTTCACATGGGTAACTGCTGTTAATAGTCTGGTATATATTCTTCTACATCCCTTCTACATAAAATTAGAAAGTAATTTATTCATAGACATTTTTCACCTTTACTCTTCTGAACGTCAGTTCAAAATATTATAATTCTCCATAAGATAGATCTTACACACATGAGATTTAGAAGTACAGACAATTCATAGTCACTATTAATCTTATTAATGTTGCATTTTATAAACCAAACAGTACCAGAGGATCCATGCCTTCATTTTAGTGCGAGTTTTTGATGTGGCTTTGTTTTGTATTATGCATGAAAGTACTACTATTTAACTCTTTACTTTCTGATTCTCCTTTAGAGTGCACAAGGGCAATTAGAAACAAGTTTGTCTAGGTCATTCTTAGACCTATACGATCACAGAATCCTTAAAACTAGAGGGGAGACTTTGAAAACATCAAGCCTTACTCCTTATGTTACTGATGAGGAAACCCAAGTCTAAAGAATCAAAGTGGCTTGGCCCAAAGTCTTGTATCTGGTGAGTGGCAGTGTTCAGAAGAGAACTCTTGCTTCTTGGCTCTCGGTTCAGTCTGCTCTGCTGCCTCTCTGATACACCTAACTGGGTGTAGTCAGTTTCCTAACTGTTCACCTAACTGGGGCCTCGTCTGTTTCCATCAGTGGTGTTACAATGGCACACCGCTTCCTAATTGTCTTCTGGGACACAGACCTTCAGATAAGTGGAAAGACAGAATAAATCGAGACTTTTTCTGTCCAATTCCAAAATGATCAGTAAGTGGATTTCCTAAATGCAAATACATTGGGTCAGCAGGGTGATTATTGAGCAATTTGTAGGTCAAAATGTTGTTTGGTGAAAATTTTTAACTTTTTCAAATGGTTATGCTGCCACTTATAAACAACTCTTAACAACACTGAACAATGACATCAACTGAGAGTCACCAAAAGGTACTTTTATTACATATGAAACCAGGCACTTAAAAAAACCATACCTCTTACTGTTCCAATAAACTCTTCCATTCGCTGCAAAAGATCTGCGTCTCTTTCAAAATCATAGAAATGGTGCTCTACCCAATGCCGACATACATTTAATACTCTATGGCATTAACAAAGAAGAATAACTGAATTACATGGGAACTCAGGCATAAATGTTTATCACAATGAATCACAAAAATTAAAACAGTAATTCTTACTGGAACAAAAATTCAGTACAGACTTAATGCCTTCAGTTATTTAATTACTGCTTACCGCAGTTGTACAGGCTGTATGTATTCTTTCCTAAACCTTTTTAGTTCTGCACTCAAGGGTTGATCTCCATTCTCTATAGCTATGCGATCAGCTTCTGTTGGCTCAGGCTCTGGAATTTCAAACCTAACATAAAAGAGAACAAACTAATGAAAATACTAATAATATCAAGTTATTCAAATAGAAAACTACAAACCTTTTCACCAGTCAGCACAATCAAGAGAGCGCTGTAAAAAATTACTAAAGACACACACACATCGGTGAAAATAAGTAAGACTTCTACTGATCTTAATTTCTAAAAAAGAAATTAATACTTGACAACAAAAACAAACCTAGAAACATAGTTAAGAATAAAGAATACATGCAAAGTCTAAAAATAGATGTGATTATAAAGTTATGGGACTGATGTTTATTTTTGGCTGTGTAATCACTCAATCAGCTAACATAAAACTTTACCCTTAAGGGTAATCCTTAAAAAGTAGACTGCTCTCTGAGTGGCTGAAACACTTCTCGATTATATAATGTATTTGTTCACTGACAAGCTCCATTGTATTCAACATGTGGTATATTTGAAAAATTCTGTTTAGAACATCTAAATCATCAAAATTTAGAAGTCTAAAATATACATTTTTATATAGTTCTTTAACTATATAATAAAACTATATAAAAGTCCAAAATCCAGAGTCTAAAATATACATTTTTATATAGTTCTTTAACTTGAATAATTCCATAAATATGCAATTTCATAGTTACCATATAAAAAAGAATGCTTATTTTTATACTTTAATAAATGAAAACCACAAGATTATTATAAAATAAATGGTCATCTAAGAGATTTTATTTCTTAAAAAAGTACTCACGCACTACAATTTGAAGCTCATACAATTTATTTCTGAGAGACATGTAGGATCTTAGCTCACTCTCTTTAAAAAAAAAAAAAGAATTTACACATTTTACATTAACAGACCTTTCTATTATAAGACTCAGTAGTTCTTGAGGTTTACAAAAGGATCTGTATGTTGTAAGAAATGTCCGAACAAAATTGGGATCTAAGAAGAAAAAGGAAAAATATCTTATTAAAATCTTTGATTCAGAATGATTAAAGCTATTATTAAAACATTTTCAAGAGAGATGAAAAACAGTCAGTTTTGAAATTCCCAAAATGTTTTGACCACATAGAATGCTTTGGACTTTATAACAAACTGCTAGCTTGAGCACTTCCTAAATTAGTGGCAAAACCATTGATACTAGGATTCTGTAACAGCTTATTTCTTGACTTCTGTACACTGTGACTAGCTGAACTGAAACTCCTCATCGGCTGCAGGAATGCAAAAGGAAGAAAGGCAAAGAGCACGCAACACAAGCTCCCCACCTGCTACCTGGATCTTAGAGCATCTCTGGTTGGCTTCTTTCTCTTGAGAAAGACAAACAGAAAGAGAAAGGCCACATCAATAGCCCAGTACTTCTTCTGACATCCAGACTGTTTACCTAGGATCAGTTATCTAGATTTCTTTAAATCACATTAACAGAGCATACGACTAAAAACTGGATACTACAATGTTCTAGATTAAGCTAAATACACTTTCTAAATGATTTGCTAGAGGTTTTAATTAAAGCTGCTAAAAGAAGCTTACACATACCTGTAAGTTATTAAAACTCTTAAATGTGTGAGAATGTTGATTTGGTTCTATTCACAACTTAATCCCTTTTATTTCAAGTAGTCACAATAAGAGTTTCATCATACGAGCAGGGGTCTCCAGCCCCTTCCAAGAGAGGACCTACTTTGCATTCACATCTCCATGAAGTAAATCAGGAGGCTGACTGAATGTCATCACTTCCCCAGGCCTGGCCTACTCCAGTCTCTCCTTGACAGTATTCTCCCAAGTTGTGGAGAAAGGCTGCTGTCATCAGCACAAGAGACCTGGTCTGTCATCTTCTGTGTAAAGAGGGGGAGAGACATCTTCCCACAATGGAAAAAAAAAAAATCACGCACTTCTATAACTCAAATTTCATCAATGTCCACATTTAGTTGTAAGTCTTCAAAAAGAGGGAGGGGAGAATTCATTAACTTTTCTATTGGGAAGATCCTTTTCCTATTTTACATTACGGACCGGTAAGCTCTAATTTAATAATAAATTCATTGAGAATAGTGAGTACCTTTGTGGATCCTTTCTAAGTACAATATCTTTTATTCAGATAGGATTTACTAAGACTCAGCGTTCATTTGTGTGGAAAATTTCTACTTAGGCTGATTCCGTCTGATTAAGAACCACTCTAAATTTAGCCTTAACATAAAATAATGAAAATATATTAACTCCCTCAGCAAAGCAAATGAATGGATTTATCATAAAAATAGAAGTCTATTTCTAATCTATTGGTAAATGTGGTCATCAAGATAATGAACTGATTTAAATATCAGACAACCTTGAATTTATAATGCTTTTATAAATTAAAGAAAATTTACAGAATAAAAACATACTGGTTTTAAATGTCCCTCTTCTCCTTTGCCTTCCAAGTCTACAGTGGGTTACTGATAAAGGTAATTTAAATATATACAATCCTTTAGTAATTTCCTCTCTGTTGGTATCTTATTGTTTGTCTTCAGTTACAGAGTTCCTCAAACGTTAAAGACTAATGTCTCATCCAGAAGAAAAGATTTTAAAACAGAAGGCTGTACAAGATTTTAAAACAGAGATTTATATCGGTTTCATCACAATCCTCCCTTTCAAGAATCTACTTCCTGTTCTGCAAATCTATTTGTAAGGTGAGGCTACTCAAAACATCCTATGTTTAGGAATCCAAAGCAGTGGCCACTATAGAGATGCTGAGCTGTCACTAATGGAGAGAGAGCCCAGACACATGGTACAAAAGAGTGTTCCTAGAATCCCTGAGCTGTGTTCTAAATTTAGGCTGACCCCTCCTTTTTAAAAAATTTAAAAAAAAATTTATTTTGGTCTAAAAGCCTAAAATTAATATTCAGATCCATTTCTTCTCAGATGCCAACTGAGTTAGGTTAAAAAGTTGTGGGATATCAAAGGTACTTTTAAGTTGAAAAACAGAACAAAAGCAAGTTCTAGATGAATTGTTTTTTAAGAAAATTGCCTATTTTTAAAGGCAAACTACTTTAAAATTGCCTTCTCATCTTCTACCACAACTTCTGGTCATTTCAGTACTTGAGTAACTGATGACAATGCTGGGAAAGTCGTGCTAGGCCTTGGTGCCACATCAGTCACACGGGGATCAAACCAATTCCTGATATCTGTTATGTAACGTTCGCAAAGAGCATTCACATAATTTATTCCATATGACTTCTGTGAAGTGAGTGGGGCTGTTGTTTTCCCTTTCTACATATGACAGAAGTAGCTAAGACTCATCCAAGGTTACACAGTAGAATGGCAGAGAGTCTAGATTGTGCGATTTCTAGTTTTATGCCTTTTTCTACTGTGTCACACATAACCTCGCTGGATTAAAGGATCCTTTAAGGTTTCCGCAGCTGTGACATATAAATATAAAGAATGGTTCCATGAGTTATGTAATCATTATAGAAAACTTACATAAATGATTAATTTAGAATATAGCTGTACTCAGCTAATCTTGGTTTAAGGCACTAGGAAAATCACTGAAAAATCAGCAGTCTAATTGTGATTCTGTAATTCTTGTTAAGCCTTCTTCCAGATTTTAGGAAGTAGCTGCTGTGCCTTCCTGTACAGTCTTCAGAAAAGGAGTTTCTGAAGCGGGCAGTGAGATAAACACTCCCACAATCGTCACTGTTGTACTACATTCTAAAGTGACTCAAGTTTAAGTTGTTTTTTAGCTTCATCAGAAGTAAAAGCAGTCTTGCCAAAACGAAACAAAACAAACAAAAACCAGCAGAAGCTAAAAATAAACCAAAAAAATTTGGCAAAAGTTTAAGTACTTTCAAAAAATATCTGAAAGGCTGCATATATTCCCAGGCTTGTATAATTTATAGAATCCATTTTGAGTCTAAAGCAGTGCAAAATTGCTAATGAGTGAAAAACTTCTATGGAGAGGACATAACACCTGTACTTGAAACTTTACATGAAAGAAGGGTAGATAGTCCAGAAGCTATTTTTACCTCTATCAATTTCCCCACTTAGGTGATTCCAACATGTACTATGTCACACTAACCCCTAGAAACCGTGATCTTACAGACGATGTAAAGGACTCAGATAATTCAATATCTTAAAAATACTCCTCAGTAAGGACAGGCTGTGTACTTTTGTGAGAACGCAGAGTACAGGCAACCATCAAAGCTAAGTCTTACACTGACTCTCCCGGCTGTGGAGGGGCCTCTGCCCACCTGTGTTATAAAACGGTGTTGCATAGACAGCTGGAAGGCAAATGCATGAAAATACAAAAGCCAGGCTTGCTTTGGTTTTAAAACCTAAGTGCAAATACTTGTGGAGAACACGAAAATTGGCTATTTTGATAGTCTTTTTGTCTGTTTATCACTTGATTGTGGATGTAAATTCCAGAAGCCTCTTTCTCAAACATAATCCCAAATGGATTTCAGTGTGAGCGATGATGCAAACTTCCTTGTGGTTTTTCTTCTTCAATCATTTTACGTAACGTTGTCTTCTACTAGATCCTCCTATCCCTGCAGTTAAGATTTCCACCAGGCTCACTAGCTGGTCTGCTTCCTTCCCTCGACGCAGCTTGCCATGCAAACGCCTGCCGGCTGTACCAGCAGATTCCTGGGCTAGGTCCAGGTTGTTTCAAACACAAGCTGCAGGGACTATTTTCTGCTGGTCTTCCAGCTGCCTTGTCTCCCTAACTCGAAAACTATCCTTTGATAATACTTCATTGCACAATTCATCAGAATCTTAGGAACTCAGAATATACTATCCTACGTTAATGTTCAGAATATAACGTACTAAAGTTGAGGTGATAATCCAATCCTTTTTTCTTAGGTACCTATATTGATTGACACTTGACATTTTATTCGGTAAGGTCAATGAAATTTATGAAATATTTGTTCTATGGAGCTATTTATGTAAAGAACGCCCCTTCCCCCACCACCGTAGTGAAACACTGTTAATCAGGATGTCTGTTCATGTGATAATTCTCCCTCTAATACAGGCATTTAAAAAGCCACCAGAAACAATAAGCTCCTCAACAAGGATTTATAAACAATCACTCTTGAATTCCTTAAAAAAGGAAACAGACGCTATGCTGACGCACAAACACTTTAAAAAAGTTATCAGAGAGTTTAAAAATAGAACAGTACTGCCCTATAGATCAAAAATTGTTCAAGAGATTTGTTTTTTAAAGTTAAGACACCCAAACTTAACTTACATAGGCCATGAATGCAAAAGAAATCTAATTTAGGTTTTTGAGGATTTTCTAGAAGGGCATAAAATACCAGTAAATAAAGAAAAATATCAACAGGCTTAAGTTTTTTCAACACCATTTTCTAGAAAAGAGAAGTTCATCATGCATGGGAAACACCTTTTTCCCACACTTCAAACATGAAAAGCTTTTATTTCCATGTAATGTCAGTTCTAAATTTTCCCTATTTCAAGGTCACCTCATTTCTCTAAAACAAGACGATCAAACCACACACACCATTACCACACATCTCTTTACTCATGCTGTTGAAAGTCTCAATAATTAATTTGTACTTTAGAAACAGAAGTAAAAGTCCTCCTCTCATCGCTGCTTCTTTATGTACATTGCTCTGTGCTTTCTTAAGGTAGGTAAGGAAGAAAGTCTCTTCCTATTCTTGCCAGATTCAGAATGCCCTAAGTAGATAATGCTCCCACGCCCCACGGCATTTGAAATGAATTCCGAAGTTCTGATGTAGCTAGTGACTTACTCGATGTCCAGAAATATTGCATCTGAGAGACGAGTATAAATCAGATTCCACAGAAGAAGACCCTGTGGCAATCTTCTAAGCAACAGTGAAGCATTTTCTAATTAACCTAAATTAAGTTTTTTCTCCCAGAAAGCTTTTCTTTACAGAGCACACAACACCAGTAGACTAATGACTGGATTTTGCTAAAAACTTAAAATGATTATGCCCAGTATCTAACTATATACTAAAGTCTATGCATTAAAATGGAAGTTTATCTATAGTCAGAGTTTATTACCTATTTCAATAAGAGAAAAAAATTACCCTGCTAAAGTCTTCATAGTAAACTTGCGTGTGCCCAATGATGAACAAGCCATTTATACTACTGGAAATTCAAACCAAGCAAGAAATTCTCTTTATTTTTATTATTTGATACACATAGTAAAAATTGTTACATTTTAATCATGAAGAAAAATTTGCCTTGGATGAGTCACTATAACATGGTGGAAAGTATAGTCTATTAGGGATCAGGTTGGTTGCAGCCACAGTAAAGTCTGAATTAAGTAAGGTTAAGCCAGTTTTTCTTTTTCTTTTCTTTCTTTTTTTTTCTTTTTTTTTAGGTTTCTGACCAACCCATAACCTAAAAAATGTGTGTAAGTGGTGCTTATCAGATATTAAGTTTTCTTAATTATAGCCATTGTCTTTTATTATAATTCTGTACAATATAATAAAAATGTGCAAGTTAAATTTTAGCCTTTGTTTCAGCCCAAGTTGCATTGTGTGTCCTCCAATAAACATATCTAACCAACCAACCGAGACAAACAAACCAAAAAGAGCAGATGAATAATTGTAAAAACAAGTGGCAACTTGATCTGTTATTATGGTAGTGAGGACTCAAAGTACATTTGGGCTGGAAAAGACCTTAAAAAATTAACTGCTTTCATGTTTTATGAGTTCATAGATGGACGATCAGAAACACATCCCACGTTGCCTGTAACACGTTCAGTGAGACCCCGTCCAGAAGAGCCCAAATAAGCTAGGAATTAATACTAAGCTGTGTGTACTGTAAATCACAGCTCATGAAAACTGCTTGTGGATTCCGGTTACACCAGTCATGCACTTTAATCACATATGTTAAAATATTCAATTAAGCTTCAAAAGAAGATAGAAAAGAAAAATGTCAAAAAACTCGGCCACAACACTTCCAAAACCAACACTGGCATTTTATTCCTCAAGATATTAATAAAAGGAATTTTTTTTTCAAAATTTTGACTTTTTAAAAAAGTAAAACAGTCTTGTCAATTTAAATGCGAACACACTTAACTTTGCAAACTTCTATAAATTTGGAAATTTCAGTGTTTTATATTAGCTAGAAGTAAAACACTTAAAAATACTATTCTACTCAAAAGCTAGAAGTTAATATAAACGAATGCAACTACCTAGAGTGACGAATAAGAAGCTGTGGCACACGTACTACGTCTGCAGACTTGGCCAGTGTTGTGCACGTTAAGGAGAAAACACAGCCAAGATGCAGAAAAACCATCAGCTATGCTCATTCACGTCTTAAAGTACCCTCGTTCGGAAAATAAGTACAAGGCATACAGTTCCCCAGAAAATATTTAATTGTAGTTCTGCAACTGCTTACTAATAATCGTAAGTTAGTTCTGTGAAATTCAGCAAGCAGTTTAAAAACAATTTTTATCATTAACAATCAAGTTTTACAGAAACAATTACATTTAAAAATTGGGAATTTGAAAATGGTTTCCAGCTCAGATCCCACTGACGTGACAGTAAACATTAGGTAAGTCTCCTTAGCACTTTCCACTAATACTGTTCTACAAGAAAAAAAAATCAGTAAAGCTTTGGTCCCACACAGATAAAAATCTAAGGATCAATTTTACGCTAAAAGGTTTAAGAGCTCAAAACACAGCTATTTAAAATAAAATGATGAATAGAATACTTATGTTAAATAAATCAATGACTCTTTCAAGACACTTAAAAATCAGAATAATGTGGCAAGAAGAGCAATTTAAGCTTGTGTAACCTTAAAAATTCCTTAAAAAGCAAAGAAATAAGTGTTTTGCAACCACAAATTTTGAGTAATGAAACATTTTGGTAGTTGTATTCTAGGTCTTAAAGAAGAATACAGAGGTTGAAAATCATGAAATAAGTTGGTCATAATAATTACTGAAAATTGTACCTCTCAAAATGTTTTATATGTAAAAAAGATGCCAGAATAACCTATTTCTTTTTCATGTAAAAATCTTAGGCAGCTTATTTAACTCTCCTGTGCTTTGACTTTTTTTTTTTTTTTGAGTCAGTAAAATGGGTGCATGGACTGTGGCAGTTTCTAGGCAAACAATCAGTAGTAAAACTGGAACCCCAGACTAGTCTTATTTCGCCGTCTTCAATGTGTTTCAGCTCCTGACTGCTACTACCAAATGCAGTCTGTTTAGAGAACCCAAACTGCTTTTAATGGCCTATGGAAAGCACTAATATCTTACTATGGAAAAGGCTAGCAAGAGAACTACCAATTAGAGGCCAAATAAAAATTACAAAGAAAACAAAACTCTGGCTTATTTATCCCAGAGACATGTGGACACGATGAAACATTATGTTTATAAAAGTGTTTGATATCACTGCTAAAAATATTCTAATTTAATTTTACTTTTTTGCAAGGTGGCCCTGATATGGTTGCCAGGCCACTTAAGTAGTTAAGTGGCCATTTAATAACCGAAAAGATTAACGTTATTGAATGCTAGTCATCTTTGTAACAGTCGAGTAGTTAACGGGTATCTTTAAAAGTTTAACTGGTGCCAGAGCAGTTTCCAGAGAGAACTGAGAACCCATTTATAGGACTTTAAACAATGAAAAACATCAACGATGAAAAAAACAGACCAAAACCAGAAACACATCTCCCTCAGAAACGCACATCTCCTAGAGACAGGAATATATTTAAGCAAGAAGTATAGGAATGGAGGTTAACTTTCTCATTCAACTATTTAAGAATAACACTTATGTTCTAAGAGTTACATTTCAGTTTATAGGTCTTTGTAATAAAAACATTCTTTGAAAGTAAGTTTACATTTATCTTTACAAAGAGCTTTCACCTTTAGCAGTTCATTTATTCTTTCCGACAGCATTTGAAGGTAACTGTTGTGATGTTGATTTTTGAGGTGAACTAAGGTTCTGGGATGGTGAGGAGCTGTGACAGAGTGACGACATAAATCCAGATTTCCACTATACCATACGCTACAGTAGTTTACAATTACCAAGCTTTCTACTGAAGGTCGAAGAATATTGGATTATCATTGGTTACTTTATTAGAAGAAATAAAATTACTTAAAAAAAAAAGTCATCACATTTGTTCCCTGACTCTCAAACATCATATTTGATTCAGCCTCTACCAATCTTCCTAGGTAGTTTGGATATGTTCGTCCTTAAAAAACTGCCCTACTAAGATGGACTTTTTTTTTTTTTTTTAATAACATCGGTTGTAAAATGCAAAAAATATTGAAAACTTACATGACTCTCAGGCTTGCTAAATTTAATTAAGTCTTAGGAATGGAAATGAAGAAAACCCAATGCTGTGTATATTTGTACTACCAGCACAATTTTGATGATGAACATATATGAAATTTTTACTGACTTTATCATCTCAGTAATGGAAACAGACAAAAGAAAAAAACAAGTGGTAAAGGTTATGTGAAAAAGTTTTTTAGACCCTAACGATGATGATTTCTCAGTACTTTTAGTCTTGTTTCTGCCGCTAACTGGGAAAATTTAGCCAAGTGATTTTATTTTCTCATTTGCAATCGTGGCTATAAAGCTACAAAATAATATGTGAATGTGGTAGACAAAGTATAAATGGCAGTGTTTTTTAGGCAAAGGAAAACGAACTGGGATAATGCAGAGATCATCCTTTGTTGTTAGTCTGCTTTCTATTTTAGGCACAGTGACCTGTGCAGCAAAGAATCTCAGCTGGAAGCAGCAAAACACAAGTGACAGGCAACTCAATTACATTTCTTACCTGCGTACATATGGTACGTGAGCCTCTCAATAAGTTTAATAACAGTTCCTGCTTTGATAATTGGAATTCCAGCCTTGGGCTGTGTGTTCTCTTCAAATATTATATTCTCTTCGGAGTCAGGCTCTGCAAATCGATAAACATCAGCACTAGGGAGCCTCATCTGCTCCTCCTTCTCTTCCTGTAGCATCGTCACGTCAAGCATCCTTTCCAGTGTGCTCCGGTACTGGAGAGATATCAGTGCTGCCATCCAATTGTTTTTCTCTTCAGCTGACTTGGCAGAAAATATAACACTATTTTCATCTTTTAAAATTATTTCAAAAGCATGCTTGTACTCACTGGTGTCATCTTTGTCATTAATTTGTACCTTTCTCATGAAAAACTTTTCTTTCAGACGATACTCTGCATTGCTAGCACCAGGAAGTCTTGGCTGCCCATGATTTGATTTACAGCAAATCATTAAGCCATCAAAGAGAAATATGTGTCTCTCATGCTTGGCTCCTACACGTGTAAGAGTTCCTTCCATTATAAATTCATTGCAACACTGTCCAATGTCTTTTCCCTCCCAACCATCAATATTCTTCTGAATCTCGTTCATTTTCTTGATTGCTAGTTGTTTCCCCTTCATTTGCTGACTATAAAACCGACATGCAGATTCACTGGGATAAAGGGAAAAACAGTATTAGTGCACAGATAACAGGCAACCTAGAATTCACGTAAAGGACAGTAATAAGAGTACATTTAAAAAAAAGTTGCACTCACAAAGTGTTCACTAATTCTCCACATATATTAGTGATACAAAACTGTACCATTTAGAAACCAAAGCAACACAGTAGAGACTTTTTTTAGTGACTACTGACAAAATTCTACTCTATAAATCCAGCTACGGAATGATTACTTCTACCTTGGCTACTATTTAGAATGAAAAATATTAAAAAGTAGCTCCATACAGTGAAAAGAAGAAGAGACTTAAAAAATTATTTAAAAATGTTTAAGTGGATAAGAGCTAAAGCTAAAAATCATGCACAGATTATAATGAGGAAACTGGAAGCAATGTATCTGAATTAATACCTCAAGTTACATAACCCCTAAATAAAGGACACTACGAATTTTACTTTCACAGAACGGTGATGTTGACATAAATCTACGCAAGACATTTTTCTCTCTCTCTCCTTTAGCTTACCAGTTGGCTCTCAGGAGGTCTTGTCTGGGAGTATGCAAGGAAAATGCACAAATATGAAAGGTTTTTCAAACAATAACAAATTCTCTTGGCTTTGATGTCACTTCCTCTGAAAGACCAAGCTTGTCACTAAAACTATTTTCTTCATTGTTTACTGACGAGGGAACTGAGATCCCTGAATCTATACCAAAATATTCAGGGTGAAAAGGAGGATTATTAAAAAAGTAAAAATATTCACCTCAGTCTTCGTTTTGCAAGACTTTTAGAACATATTTTTTCCATACCACTCTGAACATTAAGCAAAGCTGTTATTGCTTGTTTCAAACATTCCTTGTCTTCTTGATCTTCACTCTTTTCTTCTAACTGCTGCAAAGTCAAAATGACAAATCTGAACCAGTAGGACAGTTTGGGACAAAAAGAATAAAGATAACATCGATTCAACTCTTTCTATCACAATGCAACTTGTAAATGTGTCATAAAATGCATTCTTTTAAAAAAGCGATTTCTTCTTTATGTATCACTTTCTATATTAACATGCAACCAAGTTTTCCACATTAAAAAAAAAAAACAACACAGTAGAAGCAGTGTTAAGAGATGTCACACCTTGTGACAGGCAATAATGTGCAGTTTCTCAGGTGACTATTCCTGAAAAGAAATGAGGGACATAAAGTGTCTTCTTAACCAGCACAGGATTTACACAGCAGCAAGCACATAGATGTGGTTTTCTGAAGTATGGAATCTGGTCTTAGGTTTCTGATTCCAACACGGCTGCTGTATCAACAGGATGATTAGGAAGATAAATACGCACGGGAGGATGCAATATGGTGGAGAGGAACTTGAAGACACAAAACCTAGGACCAAATTTTGACTCTACTGCTGTGTGACTTTGGGGCAGATTATTTGACTTCTGAGTCTCACTTTTCCCAACTATTAAATGAAGCTTTATAAAAATCTTGCCCTGCCTACTTAATGGGGTTCTCTCTCTCATTCTCTTTTTAAAGTTTATTTCTCTCTTTTTAAAGTTTATTTATTTTGAGAGAGACAGAGACAGTGTGAGTTGGGGAGGGACAGAGAGAGAAAGGGAGGGAGGGAGGGAGGGAGAGAATCCTAAGCAGACTCCACACTGTCAGCGCAGAGCCCAGCGCAGGGCTTGAACTCACAAAACCGTCAGATCATGACCTGAGCCGAAACCAAGAGTTAGACGCTCAACTAAGTGAGCCACCCAGGTGCCTATTTAATGGGATTCTTATTAAAAATCAAAGCACTGTGTAAATGGTAATGTACAGTATAAGTTGTTTTCTTTGTAGTTCTATAGAATTAATATTGGTATCATGAAGAATTTTGTCAGTATTCACACATTATGAGTAAAACTAGAAATGCAACTATTAGTGAAACCCAAGCACATTTTCTACTGGTGGCAAAAGTCTGTGCTTAATAAGGATTGAGTCAACAATTACTACCAGTTATCAATACAACAGGTGGCTATAATTCAAGCAAGCAGTTAACTGAGCAAGGTATGAGTTACAATAAGTAACAAGAATTCAGTAAACTTATAAACCTGCTTCTGGCTACCAAAAAGAAAAAGTTAAGAAATAGCATTTACCAACAGTTTTCATGCAATATTTAAGAACATTTACTCTTTATGACAAAGGAAAAGACAGGAGAAATAAAACCACAAAATATTCAAAGTACCTTGTAAAGGTTTACTTTTTAATGAGCGTAATTATTCATTATGACTCTAAGGGTTTTACGTTCTTGAAAGATATTCCTTAAAGATCAACAACAAATTCCTTTTCATTTCTGCTAAAGACTATATACACATTCTGATGATTTGTGAAAAGTAAACTTATTTCTTACTCAAAGCCCTAAACCGTTTTTCTAGAAATAATTTACTTAAAATACCTTAAATGCTCAAGTATTCCATAAGTTATAAATACCGTATTGTAAAGTCTATTTAATGCTCAGCTTTTATCATCCAAATTTCTTATATTCATTATTAAAAACTCACCATACTTTCAACTAAAAGGTGCAAACTACACTTTTTAGAAAAATGTTCAGTCTCAATTGTGTTAGTAAAATAAAAATCTATTCACAATAATCCCCCAGATAAAAAGGGTAAAAAAATGGTTCTCCCCCCAAAGGATAAAAGACTTAAAATATACATACATATCATATATCTGTATATAGCAGAAGATACTCAGACATCACTTACTCATAGTATTGTTCTTCACTATGGCCAGCTAGATTAAAGGAAGTCAATGGCCAAGTGTTCATGAAAGACAGCTGCTAGATTTTTACTTAACGGCTATTGCTGATAAGCTGAAGGCTGGACTTTGGGTAATCTCTCAAAATACCTTCTGGCCCTATCACTCTAAAACTATTCACCTCTCATATGGCAGAATTTTGGGAGACAAATAAAATGTTACTGTTAACCTTTACTTCCAAGTCAGCAATCTCACACTGAAAGCAATGTTCATGAAAAAGAGGCAGAATTCTACATGGCATAATAAGAGCACCACAAATGAGAACTATTTCACTGTGTTGTTTCAGAATTTAATTGCTCAGATATTCAAGTCAATAAGACACATGGAGAGTTTTTAGTTTTAAAGAGTTGGCACCAACAGGGAACAGAATATTGAGTCCTTCATATTCTATCCTGTGGTATTTTTTGTATTATTAATTCAGGCAAACAAACCTAAAGTCATACAAAACACAGTTTTAACATACATAAAAAGAACTATGAAAGTAACAAATGCATTTAGGCATGCATTTAGTTTTCTATTCCATAAATGTTTGAAGATTCTGGGTCATTTATCTATCATTTAACGATAGCATTTCACATACAGAATATACCAGTATCTCAAAAATATTGTTAATACATTCTAAAACCACAAACCCAAAGTCTATGTCAAAACCCATAAATCTTTACTAATAAAGTAATTTTTAAGTTTTTTAAAAAGATTTTAAAGTTTATTTATTTATTTTGAGAGAGATAGTGCGCAGAGCAGAGAGAGAGAGAGAGAGAGAGAGAGAGAGAGAGAGAGAATCCCAAGCAGTTTCTACATTGTCAGCACGGAGCCCTATGTGGGGATCCAAACTTACGAACTGTGAGACTATGATCCAAGCCAAAACCAAGAGTTGGCCACTCAACTGACTGAGCCACCCAGGCACTCCATGAAGTAATTTTTACATGTAATTTTTACCTTCATAGCATTAGTCAAGCATCTAAAATAAATTTCAATGTAATAAATGACCTTTCTTATAGGCACTTTTGCTTAACATAGCTGACTTAAACTGGGCATTGGTGCAGAATAGCTGAAGTTAACTACCATCAAAGCGGTGGCTTATTGTTGCTACAGAAACAAAGCAGTGGCAATCAGTATGTAAATAAGACTCCACAAAGCAGCATCCTCTTTTTACCAAAGTGATGTTCAATACCATGCTTTTCATGGGTACCTATTTAATAACATAGTGCAACAGCAACAATTTAATTTTCCAAATACGGTTCTGTTTAAATAGTTAAAAATTATCAAGTCTTGAGGTTAAATTGCTGTATATGAGATTATATTTAAAATAATCCACAGAATCATATTCCAAAGCACAGTGAAAACTCATTGCTCTATAGTGGTGATAAAATTTATATTCTCAAAAGAAAGGATCCACTTATACAGTGATTACTTTTTCTTGGTCCTTTAGAAATAAGTGAAGGGGCAGAAATCAATATGGGGTACTACGTGTCCAAAGGAAACCCTGGGAAGTTTCCAGGTTAAATGGGTTTAAATTTAAGAAACTGTGAACTGGAAAAGGACACAAAACTGAAGACTGTTTATATATAAAAAATAAAGTGTTACACCTGATGCATTTTAGAGGAGTCCAACTAATTCACAAACATGTAATGGTTTCCTTTGGTTAAAAAAAAAACAACCCTTTGAACTCATGTTTTTATTTCTAGAAATTACTTTTTCCAACACTAGATTATTTAAAATGAAGGAACTGCCATTACTTGATGGCAGAGGCAAGCAAGACCCAGGATTTCTGACCCTGAGTTCAAGGGCTTTTCAATATACTAACCAAAACACCAAAATAAGTTTGAAATACCTATTTAGAAAATATTCACCAAATAAGATCTAGCCCATTCATTTAGGTAAACTGCATGCAGTGCACAGGATGGCAAAATATAGAATCAAAAAAAATGTAATTATCTACGGTTTGGGACATAAAATAAAGATTTGTCTTTGTCTTAAATGTTGCGTGTATATAGAGAGTTTATCACAGAGTGGGAAAACACAAGCAAAGATGAGGATCACATTTTGATTGTGGAGTGGTTACTTGTATACTCTTTGATGAGACGCTAAGAACAGATTACAAAGTGGAAAATATAGGGTCAAATAGTAAATTTAATTTACTAGTCCTGTTAACAAATGTATGGAATATTATCCAAGTTATCCAGAAACCAACTAATTAAACCACTGCTCCCGACTCTTTGCTATGCTTTAACTTAAATATCCCTTTAAAGGCTGAGCACAAGAAAGGCAATGGCCCTCAACTATTCTTTTATAGTAGCAGCACAACTAAAAACTATGGGTGAAAAAGATGAAATTCTTAACTAAAATGGGATTTAGAGATTATCTTCAGCTTTCAATTGCTCATATTACTTGTTAAGTCAGAAAGTACATTTCAGGATGCCTGGGTGGCTTATTTGGTTAAGCGTCTGACCCTTGGTTTCGGCTCAGGTCATGATCTCACAGCTCGGCACTTCGAGCCCCATGTTGGGCTCTGCACCAAAAGCGTGGAGCCTGCTTGGAATTTCTCTCTCCCTCTCTCTCTGCTCTTCCCTTGGCTTGTTCTCTCTCTCAAAAATAAATAAATAAACATTTAAAAAATCTTAAAAAATATATGTTTTTATTTTTATTTTTTTTAATTTTTTTTCAACGTTTTTATTTATTTTTGGGACAGAGAGAGACAGAGCATGAATGGGGGAAGGGCAGAGAGAGAGGGAGACACAGAATCGGAAACAGGCTCCAGGCTCTGAGCCATCAGCCCAGAGCCTGACGCGGGGCTCGAACTCACGGACCGTGAGATCGTGACCTGGCTGAAGTCGGACGCTTAACCGACTGCGCCACCCAGGCGCCCCAAAAAATATATGTTTTTAAATTTAAACTTTTTTGTTTTTAATTTCATTTATATTTGAGAGACAGAGTGCGAGTGGAGCAGGGGCAGAGAGAGAGGGAGACACAGAATCTGAAGCAGGCTCCAGGCTCTGAGCTGTCAGCACAGGGCCCGATGTGGGGCTTGAACCCACAAACCACGAGATCATGACCTGAGCAGAAGTCAGACACTTAACCAAATGCACCACCCAGGCACCC